GCGACTGGACAGGCTGTGGACACTCTAAGGGAGGAGCAGGACCAGGAGAGGGCGGGAGACCAAGAACCTGCTCCAGGAGCGAAACAAAGTACAGCCTCGGCCGCTCAGCGCCTCCAGAACTAGCAACGACGGCACCAGTACCCCCAGCGGCAGCACCAGCGCCAGCAACACCTCCAGCTCCAACAGCGCCAACTCCAGCATCCTCAGAAGCACCAGCGCCTGCAGCATCGCTAGCGCCAACACCCCCAGCAGCTCCAGCTCTAGCAGCACCAACTCAAGTAGGACCGTCAGCACCAGCAGCCTCAGCAGCACCCCCAGTCGCACCAGCACCAGTAGAAACACCAGCGCCAACACCCCCAGCAGCTCCACCTCCAGCAGCACCAGCACCGACTGCAGCTCCAGTAGGACCAACTCCAGTAGCTCCAGCAGCACCCCCAGACTCAGCAGCACGTCTCCAGCGGCGGGCGAACCACTCGCGTACCTCCTGTGGAGAGAGCCGCTCCCGCCTCGACGAAGCACCGCTCGCGGCAACGAGAGCAGACCCAGCACCCCGAGGCTCCGCACCCCCAGGCTCAGCACCCCCAGGCTCAGCACCCCCAGACTCAGCACCCCCAGGCTCAGCACCCCCAGTCTCAGCACCCCCAAACCTAGCACCCCCAGACCTGGCACCCGCAGGCTCAGTACCTCGATAGGCTCGACTGCGTCTACTTGGGACACACCTGACGGGGCAGGACCCTGAGAAGGGAGGGGGTCTACCTGGGGAGGACCTAGCGCAAGGAAGAGCAGCGGCGGGGGGAGAGGCGCAGTGCGGTAGGGGAAGAAACTGTAGTAAGGCACCGACTCGTCAAAGGTGACGTCCTGGGAGGACAGAACACGGCGCGAGGTGGGGTGGTAAAACTGCCACCGAGGCGCGTCACGGGGGAAGCCAAGGAAGACGCAAGGAACAGCACGGGGGGACAGCTTGTCCTCAGACAAGTCGCGGACAAACGCCCAAGATCCCCAGACCCGAAACGCAGACGCATCGCCAACCTTCCCTGTCCACCGCAAGGCGGGGGAGGTCTCTGGCAAGGAGACCCGGGGCTGAAGGTTGAGCTGATGCGCGGCGTACTGAACCGCAAACGGCCACAGAAAATGGGGGGCAGCCGCATGCATCATAGACGTACGAGCGACGTCCATGACCATGCCAATGCGGCGCTCAGCAATCCCATTTTGCTGTGGAGAGGCCAGAAGCGTGAAGGTCTAGCGGATGCCCTGTGCACGACAGAAGGCTCCAAGACAGGCAGAGGAAAACTCCCCGCCTCTGTCCGAAAGCAGATGCAGAACAGGAAAGTCCGAGTCGAAACTCTTTCTGAGCTGGAGACGAGCTGCGCGGATCCAGTCGATCAGCACTTCAATTACGTCACCCTTGCTGCACAAGTGGAAGACTGTGGTGTAACGCGAGTAGTCGTCAACGACCAGTAGAAAGTACCGCTCTCGCCCCTGCCCACTGACGCGGGCTGGGCCCCACACGTCCATGTGTAGAGTCTGCAGCGGAGCCTCTGTCGGAGGAAACTCGGAGGAGTGAGGGGCGGCGCGCTATCGCCCCTCGACGCAGGGGACGCAGGTAGGGCCAGGCCCCGGAGGAAGGGGAGGGAGAGACCGAGGAAGACCAGAGACAAGGACACGGGAGGCCATGCCTCGGAGACGAGGCAAGGAGGGGTGACCAAGGCGGTGGTGCCAAAGGAGAGTCTAGTGGGACAGCAGACGACATGAGCAGGGGGCACACTCAGGACCAGACCTGGACGCCGCAGCAAACACCTGACTCGACGCAGCTACCCAGGCAGACTCAGCAGCAGGACGAGACTCAGTATTAAGGGTGTACAGGCTCGACCCTGGCCGACGGGTGAACGTGGCCAAGTGTCGGCCTCTCTGAGCACACGTGCATTGGGTCACTCGCTGACTCGCAGGAGCAAACTGGTCAACCCCTCGATCCTGTAGGTCCGCTCCACTCACCAAGTTCGTAGAGAACGAGGGGAGGTAGAGACCAGACAGGGTGCCAGAGGGGGCTGCAGGGCACGGAAGGACAGTGGAGAAGCTAGCAAGGACAGGACCCCCAGAGGGGTCTGCCAAGGATACTGCAACCGGCCGACTAAGCGGCGTAGGAGTGGTGCGGTCTCGAAAGAAGGAGCGGGACGCACCCGAGTCCACGGTGAAGGTGTGGAAGGCCTGAGCCGACGTAGTACCTGAGAGAGCAGACTCACCAGTACCTGGGGCAGCAGACGCACTGGCACCTGGGGCAGCAGACGCACTAGTACCGAGAGCAGCAGCCTCACCAGCACCTAGAGCAGCAGCCTCAATGCCCGGGTCAGGCGGTACACACAGGTAACAGTCACAAGCAACACTAGTATCAACAGCATACATGGCAGCAAGGATAGCATCAAAGTCAAGATCAAAGATAGCAACCCCGCACTTAGCTTGATCTCCCCAGCGAGGGATCTCTGACGCCTCAGGGAATTGGTGACGCCACGCGTCCGTCAGGCGACCAAAGTAGCGCTGGGTGGATTGCGGGCCTCCGCACTGCTCACCAGCGCGGTTGCCGGTACGAAGGACGTAAGAGCAGGGACCAAAACCCCCACCGCGCTGGCGTGCAGTGTACCACTCACAAAGCTGCTGAGGGGACAGGGTCACACCACTCCGCTGCTGCTGCTGGCGCTGACTACCACCGGCGCCACTCCTCTGCGCAGAGTCGCGACTCGCTCCACCACCGTCGCCTCCGCCGCCGCCGCCGCCGCCGCCGCCGCCTCTGCCGCCTCCTCCACCTCCGCCTCCTCCACTACCTCCGCCGCCTCCGCTCCCTCCGCCACCTCCACCGCCTCCGCCGCCTCCACTGCTGCCGCCGCCGCCGCCGCCACCCCCGGCACCACTCCCACCACCACCCCCACTCCCTCCACCTCCTCCACCCCCACTCCCTCCACCGCTTCCACCACCACCTCCACCGCCCCCTCCAGTCCCTCTAGTGCCCTTGCCCCCCTTGCCCTTGTCGGTGCGGTGTCTCCGGCTCGGGGCAGACGCAGCGCCGACCGACTCGAAACCAACGAGGTCGGCCGTAGCAGCAGAGGCAACAGAGGGCAAGAGGGGTGAGGGAGAACACCCCTCAAAGACGGGGGTGCGAGGGTCACCACGAGAGGCTCCTACACCGACTATGCTCTTCTCTATCGCTAGGAGGGCCTTCTCGAGGAGGTCAACAGTGAGAGTGGTGGGGAAAACTGAGAGGAAGTGGTCCCTTACTACCCGAAGAGAGTCAGGGAGCCGGTGACTATGTAGTAGAGGGTGATGTACATGGGGGGGGGGGTTCTTGGCGCAGAATTCAGCAGGAAGCGCAGCGCAGTAGCGAGTGTTACTAGTGCGAAGGTGCGTAATGAGGTCAGCGACTGTGGGAAAGGCAGCAAGGTCAGGGAAGAGGTACGGTAGCATGAGGCGGCTCAGTGCAGCAGTGGCAGGGGAAGAGTAGCGTGCAACTACAGCGTCGTACAAGGTCTGAGCACTCTTTTACTGGCTAAAGTGTGCACACTTTGTGGTCGGTAAGTGGCGGCGCACAGCAAGGCGAGCAGAAGCATCACGTGTGGCCCATTGTGAGCGAACAGTGGCGTCTGCATCAGCAGCAGGGGCACGGGAGGCACCAGAAGTGAGGTCAAACAGGGAGAGGCCGTCTGCCCTATCGCACTACAAGAAAAGCTGCAGATCATCTACCCAGACCTCAAAGTCCACTGCCCGACCCTCAACGTCAAAGGTGAGAACGCTAGGGGAGGCCATAACAGCAGTAGGCAGGCAGTGAGTACAGTGGGGCAGGGCAGTGTAGTGGCAGAGACTATGCTCTTACCAGGGAGGTGGGGCGATCGAGCTGCTCGGCTGCTCGGTGGTCGGGCGGCTCGGCTGCACGGTGCTGGGCGACTCGGTTGTCGGGCGGCTCGGCTGCTGGGCGGCTCGGCTGTTGGGCGGCTCGGCTGCACGGTGTTGAGCGGCTCGGTTGTCGGGCGGCTCGGGTGCTGGGCGGCTCGGGTGCTGGGCGGCTCGGTTGTTGGGCGGCTCGGCGGTCGGGCGGCTCGGTTGCTGGGCGGCTCGGCGGTCGGGCGGTCGGGCGGCTCGGTTGCTGGGCGGTTCGGCTGCTCTGCGCTGTGGGCGCTAGGCGGCGGGGCCGCAGGTGACGGCGAGGCCGCAGGTGGCGGCGGGGCCCCAGGTGGCGGCGGGGCCGCAGGTGGCGGTGGGGCCGCAGGTGGCGACGGGGCCGTAGGTGGCGGCGGGGCCGCAGATGTCGGCGGGGCCGCAGGTGGCGACGGGGCCGTAGTGGGCGACGGGGCCGCAGGTGGCGACGGGGCTGCAAAGGGGCCGCAAAGGGGCCGTAGCGGGGCCGTAAAGGGGCCAGGCGGGGCCGTTGAGGGGCCTAGGCAGGGCCGCGGAGGGGCCGTAAGGGGCCAGACAGGGCCAAGGAGGGGCCTAGGCGGGGCCGCAAAGGTGCCGTAAGGGGCCAGACGGGGCCGCGAAGGGGCCTAGGCGGGGCCGCGAAGGGGCCGGAAGGGGCTTAGGCGAGGCCGTAAGGGGCACGACTGGGCCGCGGAGGGGCCTAAGCGAGGCCGCGACGAGGCCGTAAGGGGCCTAAGCAAGGCCGCTACCGGGCCGTAAGGGGCCTAAGCGGGGCCGCGACGGGGCCGTGAGGGGCCTAAGCGGGGCCGCGACGGGGCCGTAAGGGGCCTAAGCGGGGCCGCGACGGGATCGTAAGGGGCCAAACGGGGCCGTAAGGGGCCGTAGAAGGCGGCGCGAGGGGCCGTAAGGGCGGCCAACGGGGGCCACTAAGGGCGGCTCGAGGCGCTACTCGGGTTAGGAGCGAAGCGCGCTCCGGGCAGGGAATGAAAAAAAAAAGTTCATGGTGGGCCCTAGGCAGTATTCCCACTCGGGAACCTGCTCGATACCATGACGAGAAGTGAGAATGGGCGAATGAACTATGAAACAGTTGGGTACAAGTACTAACCCTGATTGGGTTGTACCCCTTATGGGCTACCCCACTACAGCCTACACAAATGTCAAGCTATAATGTTCTGACACTCCTCTGCGCAAAGCCGCGACCAGCTCCACCGCTGTTGCCGCCGCCTCCGCCACCTCCGCCGCCTCCGCCACCTCCTCCACCTCCGCTCCCTCCGCCACCGCCGCCGCCTCCGCCGCCTCCACTGCTGCCACCGACACCTCCAACCCCGCCACCACTCCCACCACCACCCCCACCCCCCCCACTGCCTCCACCACCACCTCCACGGCCCCCGCCAGCCCCTCCAGCGCCCTTGCCCCCCTTGCCCTTGCCGGTGCGGCGTCTCCCGCTAGGGGCAGATGCAGCGCCGACCGACTCGAAACCAACGAGGTTGGCCGCAGCAGTAGAAGCAACAAAGGGCAAGAGGGGGGAGGGGGAACACCCCTCAAAGACGGGGGTGCGAGGGTCACCACAAGAGGCTCCTACAGTGACTATGCTCTTCTCTGCTGCTAGGAGGCGCTCCTCGAGGAGGTCAATGGTGAGTGTGGTGGGGCAAACTGAGAGGAAGTGGTGCCTGACTAAGCGAAGGGAGTCACGGAGGCGGGTGACTATGTAGTAGAGGGTGATGTACATGGGGGGGGGGTTCTTGGCGCAGAACTCAGCAGGAAGCGCAGCGCGGTAGCGAGTGTTACTAGTGCGAAGGTGCGTAATGAGGTCAGCGACTGTGGGAAAGGCAGCAAGGTCAGGGAAAAGGTACGACAGCATGTGGCGGCTAAGCACAGTAGTGGCAGGGGAGGAGTAGCGTGCAACTACAGCGTCGTACAAGGTCTTAGCACTCTTGTACTGGCTAAAGTGCGCACGCTCAGTGGTCGGTAAGTGGCGACGCACAGCAAGGCGGGCAGCAGCATCGCGTGTGGCCCACTGCGAGCGAACAGTGCTGTCAGCAGTAGCAGGCGGGGCAGGAGAGACACCAGAGGTGAGATCGAACAGAGAGTGTCCGTCTGCCCTATCGCACTGTAGGAACAGCTGGAGGTCATCGACCCAGACCTCAAAGTCAACAGCACGACCCTCAGCATCAAAGATAAGGACACTGGGGGTAGCCATCACTGCAGTGGCCTAGCAGGGAGTGATCTCACCAGTCCGAGTAAGTAGGGCCAGGGCGCGCCGGTAGGAGTAGTAGGGGCTGGACGGTAGGGCGGCTCGGCGGCTCGGCTGCTGGGCGGCTCGGCGGCTCGGCTGCTGGGCGGCTCGGCGGCTTGGCTGCTGGGCGGTTCGGCCGGTCGGTTGCTGGGCGGCTCGGCTGCTCAGCGGCTCGGCTGCTCAGCGGCTCGGCTGCTGGGCGGCTCGGCTGTCGGGCGGCTCGGCGGCTCGGTTGCTCGGAGGCTCGGCTGCTGGGCGGCTCGGCGGCTGGGCGGCTCGGCGGCTGAAGGGGCCGCTAGGGGTGGCGACGAGGCTGCGTAGGGAGGGGAGCGACGACGGGGCCGCTAGGGGCGGAGGGGGCCGCGTAGGTAGGGATGCGGCGACGGGGTCGCTGAGGGCGGCGATGGGGCCGCTAGGGGCGGCGACGGGGCCGCGTAGGGGCGGCGACAGGGTCGCGTAGGGACGGCGACAGGGCCGCGTAGGTAGGTAGGCAGCGACGGGGCCGCTAGGGGCGGCGACGGGGCCGCGTAGGGGCGGCGACGGGGCCGCTAGGGGCGGCGATGGGGCCGCCTGGGTAGGGAGGCGGCGACGGGGCCGCTAGGGGCGACGAGTGGGCCGCTAGAGGCGGCAACGGGGCTGCGTAGGGGCGGCGACGGGGCCACGTAGGGGCGGCGACGGGGCCGCGTAGGTAGGGAGGCGGCGGCGGGGCCGCTAGGGGTGGCGACGGGGCCGCGTAGGGGAGGCGACGGGGCCGCTTAGGGGCGGCGACAGGGCCGCGTAGGTGGAGAGGCGGCGACGGGGCCGCTAGGGGCGGCGACGGGGCCGCTAGGGGCGGCGACGGGGCCGCGTAGGGGCGGCAACGGGGCCGCTAGGGGTGGCTACGGGGCCGCGTAGGGGCGGCGACGGGGCCGCTAGGGGCCGGGAGGGGCGGCACGGGGGGCCGTGGGAGGGGCCTCTAAGGGGTCTCGACGGAAGGGCGGCCCACAGGGCGCGCCTCGGGCAGTAGCGAGGAAAGAAGCGTGGTGGGCCCAAGGAAGCGTTCCCATTAGGGAACCTGCTCTATACCATGTGAAAGAATGAGGAAATGAATGAACTAGCAAGCAGGTGGGTACAAGTTGGAAAACCTATAAATGTTGTACCCCATATAGTCTACCCCACTATAGCCTACACAGACTATAGCATATAAGTTTGACAAGTACACATACAACCTATAGATGTGCATGTTGACACAACCCCTAGGCTAGGTAAGTAGTAGTGCCACAAAAGAAGAACACTGCATAATATGCAATCAAGGCAATACTACTAGCCCAGCCTCTAGACAAAGGGCCACTAGGCCAGCCAATTTGCTACAAGATACAGTTATGAAGAAACTAGCGAATGAGGACCTCATGTCACAAGACCAAGCTGTATGGAGAGTCGCTGATGCTCACGAGGATGGAGTTCCTAGGTAAAGATGTCAGCGGTATTGGCCCCGGAGACCAAGTATACTATGTGTGCCTCGCTGCGCTGTTGAAAATCATGCAGAAGAAAGTACTATAGTTGGATGTGCTTGTTTTGCCCTTCATTCGAGGCTCCAGACACAGGAGGATCATGGCCCTGTTGTCAGCAAAAAGGACCAGGGCAGAGCCGGCGGCTCACCAAGGTCAATGAGCAAGAAAGTCAACCAGGGGAGCTCCTACGCAGCCATAGCACCGATGTAGGTCTCTTCCTCATCATTGGACAAAGAAACTGACGATGAGCGCGTCGACCTCCACGAGGCAGCTCCAAAGCCCAGGTAGCCCTAAGAAGACATGAGAGTCTCGGCATCGTCTACCCACGACGTGTCAGTCTGTCTGGTAAGTCTGACTGGCTGTCACCCTCCAAGCACAAACCCCATGCCTGATGTCATCTCCAGATAGCGTAGTACCCACTTTGCAGTTGACCAGTGGGCAGGTTGGTGTCTTCCAGTCGCAACAAAGCCACGTCATCAAGTTTATGAGGCATCCCACCAGCTCTGTATTCTTACCATTAGGTTGAGCAGGCCCGTCGGGAACAGGAGCCTTAAGCCCATGGCCAACATTCAAGAGGTGTGGACTGTAGAAAGTATAACTGAAAGCGAAACAACTCGAGGATTTGGTGCACCACGAATACCAATGCGGCAAAAGCGGGATGGTTTCGTTCGTATATGTTTAGCTTACCACACTCGTACCGGCGTCATCGTCAGTTCGGGCGTTACCGACCAGTCCCGTTCTTCTCGTTGTTCCTCCTCGTCTCTAACAAGGTAGGGTATGTGGTATATGTGGTGATCTAGAGCGGGCTGGTGTGGCGCGTGGTGGCGGAACAGGCGCGGCTCAGCTCACTGTGAGAAATCCCTCTTGCTCAAGCCTCCCTCTCTTCTCTGTGTGATTGAGTCAGAATGATGGTGTGCGCTTCTCTGTCCCGGGTGATTTGCAAGCCAAGATACCAACGCAGCTCATCCAGGTAAGTGGAGACGTGTCTCCTTTGCAGCTCCGCCTTCATTGAGGCCAGTGCAACTCTATCGGGAGTGGCAAAGACGAGGTCGTCCACATAGACAAAGATATAAAAGGGCTTTAAGCCAGAGTGGATGAAGAGCGAAAGGTCAGCCGAGGACGGTTGGAAACCAAGAGCAGTAAGAGTGGTCCGTAATGTGTTGTGCCACTCACGTGGAGCCTGACGTAGACCGTAGAAAGGTCACCGAAGGCTCCACTGGGTGCCAAGAGGGAACGCACCGTAAAGCCAGGAGCGCGACACAGTCAGATCTGCTTGTGCTAACTTTCCTGAAGGAAGGAAGTGGAGAAGTCTAGTAAGTGCAGCTCATAGTCACGATGTGCAGCGGCGTGTAGAGACACCCGAAGAGTGGTCATCTTCGGGGCGGGGTAAAAGGTATGAAAAAAATCTACCCCCTCTCGCTGACCAAAGCCTATAACCACGTAGCGCGCCTGAAGACGCGTGGCGATCCTGGTGGCCGCTTCACCTTGAAGATCAACATGCCATCGACTACGTCCACCTAAGGAGGGGGGAATGCCTCAACATAGGTTCCTATGGACCTCGAAGATGCCATCTCTGCGTGCATGGCTGCTATCCGCTTAGAGGCCTAGGGTCCCAAATCTGCCTCAGAGTAAGTGCATGGAGTCAAGATGTCAACTGCGTCTGGGTCACCCTCAAGGGCTAGCATCATGGCATAGAGGTGGGGAGTAGTGGCCGCAAGGAAAGCTAGCTCAAGCTGCCACTCTCCTAATACCTCCAAGCCAAAGGCAGGAGCACCCAAGCGAGACTGAGGACAAGCAGCCTTAGACACCAACTGAGTGGCGTAGTCAAGGCGGTGGATGAAGGCAAATTCGGCGACAACAGTCATAACAGCTAAGACAGACTGTGTCGGATTATTAGGGTCAGTGACCAAGGAAGAAGGACATAAGAAACTGTAGGACAAACGGTACGAAGAGCGTCGAAGAATGGAGGAGGGGAGACAGGAAGGGACGAATGAGGGGAAAGGACAACAGGAGGAGGGACATGAGGGTAGTCGTCCAGATTTACGAGGAGGTAGCACTCCTGGGCACCAATCGCCCATGCGCAAAGCCTGAAGGGGGGCAGTGGTACGGGAAACGAGGATGAGTGAGTGGCGGGCCACTGCCGGCCCTCGACGTAGTGAGGGCACATTGGCGTAGGTGAGGGAGGGAGTGGGGCGAGGGACATATGGAGACCTGAAACCAGACGGTGGTGAACCATGTGATAGAGACGGGGGTAGGAGGGCTGACCTAGGCGGTGGTGCCACAGGAGCAACAAGTAAGTGACTGACCGACACGAGCACCACGCAACTACCTTACTAGATGTAGGAACCTGGAAAGACGCAGTGTGCAAGAGAACTGACGCGGGCTCCCGGGAGAACCTGCCATGGGGCGCCCCAATGGTAGCTTCTATACAGACCGCAAATCTCGTGTGCCCAGGAAAGGTGATGGTGATGCCTAGGTCCTAAAGACCACCAACACTCACCAAGTTCTTGGAGATTGCGGGAAGGTGCAAACCTAAGAGGGAACCTGAGGGGATTGCCAGACACGGAAGTGCGATAGAGCTGCAAACCCTGAGGTGGTTTCGGCCAAAGTGATTGAGACTTGTGTCAGAAGTGGCGTGAGGCTGGTGTGGTCACGAAAGAAGCACCGGAAGTGCCAAAGTTGAGCGTGACTGAGAGGGACGCGGCAGTGGTCGTCGCACCTGAGCTAGCAAAAATGTAAGAACCTACACTAGCAACAGCTACAGATCATAGTCTATGCACAGACAAATAATAAGATTCAGCACAATTAGGGTCCACAGCTGACATGTCAGGTTCAAAAGACAAAACAGCACGCACGCCAGACATAGGCATAGTAAACACCTAGTGGCCCTGGCGGAGCAGCGAGGGTTAGTGAGAGGCGGGTGCGCCGAGATCGAACCGCAGGCCGTAGAGGTCGGTGGGGTGGCCAAAGCACTTGTCATGAGAGTGAGCACACCCGCAGACAAAACCGTGGCATGGACTGGTCTGAGGCATGTACTGACAGGGTCGGGCAGGGGTACTATGCGATGGCAAACCTCCACTACGGCCAGCACTCTCAAGGCCGACAGGACCCCACTGCTGAGGAGGGACCCACTTCTAAGGCTGTCGTGGGTGGTTTTGCTGAACCCGGCACTGCATTTGCTGAGTTCGTTGCTGCCACATTGACATAGTATGAGGAAAGGTGAGGAAACGGCCACCGGAGGAGGAACGGTAGCAGGTCGGCACGAGCGGAAGAACGGGTGGCAGTACGGGCGGCTGTACACACGTTAGTACTGGCGGCAGTACGGGGCGACGTGAAGGGGGCCATGACGGGCGGCTGAGGGCGGCGTAACGAGCGGCCGAGGGTGGCATAACGAGCGGCCTAGGTGGAGGTCCATCTAAGCGGCCTAAGGGAAACGTGACGGGGCGGGCTAGTTCGGGCACAACAGGCGGGCTA